ATATATATATTCTTTTTTTTTCTGAAATTTATTTAAGATTAAAACTTTCGATACGGAAGAAAACTGTTCTTTTCGTCATATATGTTAAAAGGGTTTTTCGGCATTGACCAATATTAGATTAAAATTTCTGATTTCCACTTACTATTGACATAAAGATTTAAAAGTTCCAGAAGCCACAGATTTTTCAAAAGTTCGCGCAGAGATCCAGAAGCCACAGATTCTTCAAAACATTTGCGATCTTCAAGATGAATGTTGTTTCTCTTGTTGCAGTTCGCAACAAAAGTAACGACATTTATCTTGCAGCTTCGCTGTCGGCTGTAACTGCGTCGTGCAAAACAGTCAGAAACACCAGTATGCATGCGGCAGTTTTTTCGAATTTGTACCGTTTCCTCACAGCAATTCGCAGCACCTTAAGGTGACATATACTCTCGTGAGAGAGGGCCGCTCCTCTGCGAAAAAAGAATATAACAATATTTTTATTTGAAAGATATAAGAAATATAGAAATCGTAATAAAATATAAATACGAAATAAAATATTATATGATCTGAAATATATAAAAAAATTTGAAAGGAGAAAATTATTTTGGAAGAAACAATTATAATAATTATAATAGAATTATTCAATATTGTAATAAATACGTTATAATCAAAATTATTACAAAATTTAAATAAATCGAGATCATAAAAATTGTGATAAAACATTTAAGAAAAGTTAAAAAAAGCAATAATAGAATCTTAAAAATCTATTTTGCTTATTTTTATGTAGAAGTAAAAGAACGTACCGACCAAGCTTGACCAATGTTCGGAGGATTATTATAACGTCGCTGATTGTAATCATAATTGACTTTTGGTGTCATTTCTAAGGGTGGCAACGGGTTGGAGAATTGTTTTCGCAATTGTTGTCTACTCAATAATTGTTCTTCATTTATTAGGTCTTTATTGCCTCTAAAACCAGAGGCTTTCTCTTTTATTTCTTCAGCTATATGTTGCTCCTAAAACATATATTATATAAATGATCTAAACAATACTTTTGAGACTTTCACGAGTGTTTTCTTCAGAAGTGTCAAAGGATTTGCGGGTTATCATGATGACTCATTGTTATTGCCAACGTTTCTTGAACCTTGCTGTTTACTTTATAGAACGAAGAATGAACTGATACTGAGTTGCACCTTCGGAGAACTCTCTTTATTTAAATTCTGTTAAGAAGAAAGGGGTGTTTAGAAGAGAAGGAAGAGGAGGAAGAGCAGTCTGTCATATTTTATTTATAGCTCATGTCTCTATTCAAGTTATCTGGATGTTTTTGGATCTTTAAAGTTTTCACTTCACTGGAAAATATGATATCGTAGTATTTATAATAATTGTTTTATCAAATAGATTATTTGATAAAATAGATCCAGATAACTTGAACAGAGAACACGGGCTACAACGTAAGCGAAATATGGGAGATTGTTCTTCCTCCTCTTCCTTGTCTCTCTCCAAACACCCTTTCTTCTCTTAACACAGTTATGTAAGTTTATGAAAAAGAAGTCCTTCGGAGGAGCAGTAGCACTCCTTGTTCTGATAAAGTGAACGGCAAGATTCATAAAACGTTGGCATTTAGCAATGGATCACAACACAGCGATCCTTAAATCAATCCTTTAACCCGTAAATCCTTTGACACCTCTGAATAGATGATCTTTATACACATAATGCAGAAGTATCGTTCACAAATGGTTACTAATAAGACGAGACACCCCGTGGCTTTCCTCCGGAATGCTATTAAGACATTTGGCATAAACCACGCTCAATTAAAGACCGCGTGTGCAATTCAGAGACCGAATCAAGAAGATAATAGCGGCCTAGGAAGATTATATTGAGTAGAAAGATTTTGAAGGAACTCCTGAATATATGTATAAAAGTACATTTTCGTATGTGAATATTGATTTAAATAAAAAGCTTTTTCAAAAAAAAAACCATTTTCCAGATTTTAGCGCCGCATCCTACATACGTATAACATATTTATACGTATAGAAATATGTAGAAATATATATAAATAAATTAGAGGTTTATTTTTTATTCTAGATTGCACTAGAGAGATAACTTTCTTTTTCGCTTTCGTCAAACATCGAACATATAAATATATTTTACTTCATAAATAATTCCAAAAATGTACTAGTTCAGCTACAGGAAACAGACTTTAGGCTTTCAAAATAAAACACTGATCATGATAAATTCACTTCATTAAAAACTGCAGATAAATATCCGTCAATTTCAACTTTAATCACAGAAACTTCAATTATGGCAGTAAACTATTTTTCTTTACAGTAATGTGCTTACATTTCATGAACACAATTCCTTTTTAAAAGCAGTACTAAATATTACTTTCAAATATTGAATTTGCGCGTTTAGAAACATAAACACTATATCGAAATTGCCATGGACGAAAAAATCCCGCTTTAATCTATAACTATTTTACAGTTATATATTAATATGGTTGAAGTGCAATAAATTAAACTAATTTGCATAAATCATAAATTAATGATACAATTTTTACATTGATAAATGTCCAAAGACTATTTTAAAAAAATTAAAAGAGTCATTTAATAAAAGAATTGATAACTGACCTGTAATTCGCGTGCTCTCTCGGCCTGGATGAGATTCTTGAGTGTTTCAAATCTACCGGATTGAGGAACCGAAGGAGTACCGCCGCGAAATTTAGATTCTTGAACATTTGGCTTGAACGGTCCCGTACTCACGGTCCCAAAATGTCGCGAGAGATCCTCGATGACTCTCATACGCGAAGGCCCCCGCATCGCGTTTCGCCATCTACTTCCTGCCGGAGCCTTGTGCACCATCCTTCCATAAATTGGTGCACTTCCGGCGGCCCGACTACGTGGTCGACCAGCATGTCTTCCTATAAATTATTAATTCTTCACTTCCTCTGCCTATCTATCCTCTTTTTCTTACAATTACCATTTTGCACAATGTAAATAATTTCCATTTTTTTGCGCGGAAATCAATATCGTCATGAAAATAAAGAATTAGAGTCATAAACTCAGCCCGAAAAATACATATAGAAGCATTTTTAATTTTATTTAGTCAAATTTTTTGCAATGTAATCTTGTCGAAAAGAAAAAATATGTTTCCTAAAAGAAATTCCATGTAATTAAAAATTATCTGAGAGATAAATCGAATCTTTTTACTTCTTTATTCTCTCTCTCTTTTTTTTTAGAGAAAAAGAGAGCTTGTTAAATCATTAATTAGAGTAACAAATTTTTATAAGAAAAAAAATTGATGATTCAGAATAAATCAATTAAAAATATCATAAATTAACAACACATTCTTTCGAAATAACAGTCGTACACGGATAACATTGGAGTTAAAATTGGTTAAAATTATCGAGACATGCGTTCGACATCATGAGCGACATCAGGGAACTTAGAATTATTCAGAATGGATTCCAATCGGAATTGTTCAATTATCTAGATTTCTATTGTGCTCTCTAGTGAAAACGGAATAATTTCGAACGGAATCTATTCCAACTTGTTCCATGATAGACGCCCACTGACTGTTCAGATCAAAGAGTTCATATATTACACGTTACATAAATGAACAAAAAAAGGACAGCTCTTAACATCAGCTATTCTAGAATAAAAAATAGGGTGTTTTTACCCATTAAAAAAAATCGATTTGATCTTGATCTGAGCTCGTGACAAGGTCAAACGGATGTGATCAATAAATAGATCTTTTTGAAGTCTACAATTTTTGTTTGAAACATTTTTCTCAAAAATGCTTTGCTTTTCAAAATATTCAAATTCACGAATGTGAAAGGAGTTAACCAATTTTCGTTTAATTGAAGAATTGCAAAAAAAGAAGTTAAATAATTTGAACGCAATGTACGTTAATTGCGCAATTACTTTGCACAGGCAATCGGATTTAGATGCGGTCAAAGCGCTCGATTCGAACTTGTGATGTTATCGCACTTTACAGGTAACCAACATTCTCCCGATAATTAGCCTGAATCATGTATACTCGTTAACGTAAGTGCTCGATGCGTATATGATAAAGTGGCGCGCTTGACCTATATGTATGATGTATTTGCAAGATGGTATTACAATCTGCTTGTGTAGGTTCATATTGCAACTCATGAACTCTATCGATGCATAACTCGATGAAATCGATTCATAAAATCGATAAAACGCATGTGTTCTTTCTCTCATGAATTTTACGAATCAGAATGATTACAGTATTCTTTTATATCGAGAAAAAGATACATCGATTCGTGCAAGAATTTTTATTATTGTCAATAGATAAATTGTATTCTTATCGAGTTGTCTAATAAATATTCGTTACGAAGTGATTTGATGAGAAGTAGCATTTATTCTCAAAATAAAATTTATATATAATGTTACATTTATTAAATAATATACAAGTTGAAAAATTATGCAGAAAATTTGCTTACCTTCCAATTCTTCTCGTAATTTCAGTCGTGTAGGTGCGACAATATCTGCGCAAAAAAAGCCAACCAATTTTATTAAATCTTTGTAAATTTTTCATCTTACGTTTAAAAACCTACTTTTATTTTTTCATATATCATATACGGACAGTAAAGGCAAAATTCCGAATCCTTAGAAAAATTTTGCTAAATTCCGTCGACGCTTCGTGTTCCTGAAAAACGTAAAAAATCTTACCTCGTCCTCTGGATAATTTAATGCGATCGGGAAACACTGCGGTACGCGGCCATAAATTGGAATTGAATGGGTACATCGGGTATCCGTTAGTGGATTTAGCGGCTCTAATCTGCCTCTTCGTATATCTCCACATGGCACGCAACTCGTCACATGACGGCTCAGTTAGGTCCAATCGTTTGTTGCCGATGTCACCGTTACTTCCTGCTTGTGGATCAATGTATCGCAAACCCGCGACAAACGACCCGCTTGTATATGTCAGAATAAAGACGATGCACACGGCCGCGGAGCGCATTTTCTAAAATCAAAACAACGAAATCGCAAACTGATGCGGTAATTGATAGGCATAAGAAATTGTTAGAAAAGTTCTACTCTTTATTGAGCTGCTTCTGTTTTTTGATTCTACACTAAGAGAAAAATGTTTTGTATTTGTATGTAACTATAATTATATATTACTATAATTATGATTATTACTGCTATAATAATAACAATAGTAACTATGTATATAGTTCTAGCAACAAATATAATTGGCAACCTAAAATGATTATAATTATAGTTACAAATACTAAACATTTTTCTCTCAGTGTAGATATTCTTTGTGTATAATTAATGAAGTAACAAAAAGATTAATAAACTTTATCTTTTTATTACAGTGATATACTTTATATTTTAGAGTATCTCAGCCTTGGAATTTCGAATTCTGTGAATTCTGATAATTAAACTTCTGATAAATTAAATATATCTTAATTGAGAACAAGAAGAAGATTTTATGTATTCTTCATCAATTTTAATTAAACTTGCAATAAGTTTTAGCAAGTTGTACTATTTAGAACGGACGCTACAATTTTTATTGGCCATATTTAAATCGTTATTATTTCACAAATTGTTGCCTAAAGTAAAAATTTATGACCTTTTTGATTAATATTTGGGAAATTGTCTGTTACTGTATGAATTTTTATTCGAATTTCGAGAAATTGTATATAAAAAAAACAAGAAAGTAACAAATAATTACTTCTAAGTAACAATAACACTATAAACGATTTAAAGAACTTTATTTCTTAAAGAACTTTTAAAAATATCTTAAAATTATCTTATGCATCAATTTTAGACTTCTTATTCATCGAATATCTAAAAAAAAATTGCAAAAATTATAAGATAATAGAGGATTTTCCGATTCTGTTTAATCCATTCTAGTCGCCCACGACAGATTATGCGGTCATTATCGGACATTCTGTATATACGACATATTTGCTGTTACACATGGATGAATTAATCAATGTCTGATCAACTTTATAGAAAGTTATTTAAATTGAAATTGAATTGAAATTTAAATTGCATTGTATAAAAAGTGTCAATCATTTTGTCTCATATTTAGCTTAATTTAATGATTATTCCAACAATGCAGCATTGTGTTAACGTGCTTTATTTCGCACATTTTATGAATAATCATTTTATAGGATGTTGGGAATTAACGAGATTTTGTTTTTTTTCCTCCAAGTGCATATTTCTTTCATGCTCGTGCACTGCATGATTATTACGCACGTGTATCGCTATTAAAATGCAATCGAATTACACCAGTGGACCACTGAATGTTATTGCACTTTTTCGGGAGGGAGCTTGTATTGTCTGCATTTATATGCATGACACGCGAAATTTATCTATTCATTATTGATTTCTCATGAAGCATGATGTATATGACACTGTACGTTTATTATCAGATTTTAAATCAGAATTTGAGGTTCTTTAGAATGACACGTGCTTTTTTAATTAAATATATTCCGCACACATGCTTCAAATATATGATTTAAATATACTTGAATTTTTATTGCAATTGATTATAAGCCTAATATAATAATTACTTCACTAGATATTTTACAACTTATTTTACAAATATTAGCTTGCAAATTTAATAATAGGTATATTAAATTACATAAAACAAAATAATTTTAATTTTACACATATTTTACATGTATTGAATAAAAATAGAAAATTGTCTTTTCGCGAAAAGTTTGAACTCGTCTTTATAATTCTATTAATCAACATATTTTCTGATTTATATTTTGTATAATAGAATATAATAGAAATAATAAAAATTTTTTTTATTATATGGAAATTTTTTTGGTGAATTAAGAGTTTGCTATATATTAGGTGTGAGAAAAAGTTCGTGGCGTTTTTTTAATACCATCTAACGGGAAAAACGCGAACTTTTTCCCACACCTAATATTATATTATATTAAATATATGCTTAAGTCTATCTCTAATATAATTCTTTAAAAAAAAATTATTCAAATACATAGATGTTCGGGACTACAATAATGCATTTGATCGTGATTTATTAAGCTGCCGTTTCGTGAACGTCGAAACGAGCAACATGTGTTTTCATCAGTAAATATTTCAAGGGAATGTATATTGGAGAACGGTCTATGCATATTCAAGCTTTATATCAGCACTGTTAGATATGTCGATTTGCTCGACAATCTCATAGCCGATTGTACCATCAGCATTCTACACTGAAGATTCATGAAAAAAATTTACCGATAAGAACAGTCCAAAAACGTAAAGTCGAACAGAAGTAGCAAACTCGTGAGAAAGTTCGATTATCTAGATTACCCTGAAAACACGAATGTTCGTAAATAATCGATTCTTCATAAGCTTTGCAGTTTTTAATCCTGCAGTTGTTTCACAATAATGGAAAGACGAATGAGTAAAATCGATATTCCAACTTCACGAATCGGAAGTTTCTAGAATAATTCCTTGCTCAATATATCATTTGACATTTCTTTCTATTACGCAAATAATGATCTCTATCTATCTTCTCTTTCTCTAAATCTTTTTTTGCTCGTCTCGTGTTGTCAACTTTTTTAAATATCAAATGATTCTATTTTCTCTAAAATAACATAATAATTGAATAGTATATTTTACAGCAAAAAATATATACATCGAAGTTATTTACGATATATATTCTGAAATATATTATACGTACTTCAAGTACTTTACGGAAAAACAGATTTATATTTGGAAGCTACTTTATAGTTGAATGCAAAGAAGATTTGCGTGTAAATTGTATTTATAGGATAGAAATGCGCTGGTCGTGAAAGGTGACGTTACCATGAATGTAAAAGTACAAATTCGTTGAAAAAGATCTTTTCATGATGAACAGTATAAACCGTTTTGATGCATTTTGCATTAAAATCACTTCATTCAATCCAACATATACAAATATACCGGATATATATGTAATTGAAAAGTAACTGCTGTAAATCCATCCACCCATCCATCCTGTCCGGAGTTCCACAATGAGTCAGTAGTTCGAAGTTCTAAGTAATTCTAAGTCTTAATCGATGAAGTTGACTAATAACCAACTTGTACGACTAAGTTAAGACTGATCAAGACTTCCGATTACCGACTATCAATTTATTATAGAACCTCCATATCAGTTTTAGTTGTTCACGGCAGCTGGATGTGCGATATCTGCTACCATCAAATTGATAGCGAGAAGGAATTACTATAAGTAATTACTATAAGTAAACTGCTTTCTATCGGATACATGGCTTGTTTGACAAATTTTTTTTAACTTCGTTGAAGTATAAAATAAATTGTCTCTTAAATTTATGATCATAATAATATTTTAATAACATTATCCACAATTATTACTTCAACTTATTACTTTACAATATTATCTTCGATATCTTCCTTTGGGAAGAATAGGGGGAACAATTGGGAACAATAATCATAAAGAAAAAATAAATAATAGTAAAAAGAAAACAGTTCTCTTTAGATTATATTTTGCAGTAAACTTACATCGTTCCTCGACTATTAGGGTGCATTTCCACTAAGCAAATCTCATGTCATCCGTCCGCGTCATGATTTAATCAAAGCCTCCCATTTTATTGTTCATTTGACGCACGGCAAATGAAACAATAAAATGAGATGTTTCGATTGACACGCTCAGTGCATCCTTATTTCTCATAAACGAGAATCGAGTGATATTTTTACAAGAAATAAATGTGCGAGAGCGAAAACATTGCAGTATTCTTTTATTTGTTCCGCAAGATTGATCTTTTATTTAGACAATTCATCCGGGATCGCTTTTGGTCAATAAGCTGTAATAGTTATTGTCTAAAACGGCTGTTCAAATTTTATTGAAGTTAACAGAAGTTGCTTGTAGAAAATGAAATGTCTATTACAATGGGACAGAACTTTCTTGCTTCAAATTTCATAAAAAAAGTATGAAGTTTTCACTTAAAAATTCTTTTATTTTCTTCTCAATATTATTTTTTTATATAATATATTTATATTCGTGCAAGTGATATCGTTTTTATTCTTTGTTCGTTTCTTCAAATAACAAATACATAATGTTAAATAAATATTTATATTACCTATAATTATTTTCACTTAATTTAAATTTAGAGAACAAACGTATTTTTTAACATGGACTTTTTTCTTTTTTTTTATCTCGAATAGTAACAAAATAATTATATAAAATATGTACAAATGATATTAATTAATCAATAGCTGTACATTATAATTTACCGCATCGTATTCCTCTCCTTCTATTTCTCGTGCGCGCATACACATTTAAATTCTAGTAAATAACTAAATCGAATAATCTAATATGATTTACGTGGAAATTCCATTATTTTCATTGGAATTTCTATAAACGTGAATAGAATGCAAGGCACATCACGTTTGCTATTTATTTGCAACATTTATAATGAAGAAGCAATGAATATATTCGAAGCGGCATATATGGAACAATAAGAAACTAACAGATATCTCAGATACATTGTCGTGTCAATGCTGTACAAGACCGAGAAAATATATCTCCTATGTGATCGTCATGTACTTAATCAAGTAGAGACACAGTCTAAATGAATTATACAAATGCGTAAGCATAAGTATAAAACAGGATATGTGCATTAATTGAAATTTAACTCATGAAATGAAAAATTCGCATGCTATTTTTAGAATTTCTTATATTTATTGTTACATTTATTGATTTAATCACATTACGCATTAGTATCTAAACAGTACTTGAAAATGTGTGATAGAATTACTATAAAAATTAATTTTTTACACGGATAAATATGAATTGCATAGACATTTCAATAGAATTAATTCCATTTATTTTGTTGATAATATTATGAATAGAAATAAAAAATTGTGTAGGAATAAAGTTATTATTAGGGTTGAATAAGTTAATGTTTTTTTTAATTAAATTAAAGTTAAGTTAAAGTTAATGGTTTATAAAATTAATTTAATTAAGTTAAAAATTGAATGAACAAAAAACTAACTCAG